CCGGTTTACTATCGTCTTCTTTTTCTCGCTTTTTCTTAACTCGTGTTAAACACTCTTTTGCCAAATCTGCTTTTGCTTTTTCTGGTCCTTTTCTCTGGAACTCTCTACCTACTTCTCTGACTACTTCTCCATCACTTGCGAAGTTCAGAGCGGATCTCAAGACCCATCTGTTTTCAAAATTCATTGAGGAGCGCTGTTGAACATTGCGGAAATAACGCTTTATAAGCTAATTGATTGATTGATTGATACACATAAAAAAAACAAAGAAACGAAAAAAATCGTCTATTTAAACATATTTATAATCGTTTGCGTGTTTTTTTTTCTATGGTGCAATTCAACAACAACTACATCATCAACAACAACATCAACAACAACAATGACAACAGCAACAACAACGGCAACAACAACAGCAGTAGCAGCAGCATTAACAACAACAACTAAATTCATCAAACATCACTTTTTCACAAATCTAACACCAAACAATATTACGCGCATATATTTGCCCGGTTAGTGATAGAGACAGCACTACAACAGCGCAATTTCAACGGCAATCACGACTACAGCCACAACAACGACAGCCACAACAACGACAGCCACAACAGCAAAAGCCACAACGACAGCCACAATCACAACCAAAACAACTACTCAAGCCACAACAACACCAGGAGCAGCTTCTAATTATAATGAATGAGAGTCTCTTTTTTTTACCTCCACATGTTCGCTGTTACTCATAAAAATATCCAAACAAATGATGTTTATACGCGCAAGCAACTGCTTCTATGTGTCGTTGTTGTTTGTTGATTTTTTTGTTCGTTCGTTCGTTAGTTCGTTTGTTTGTTTTTTTTCGTTTGTTCATTCGTTTGTTTGTTTTTGTTGTGCTAACTTTGATTAATATAATAATACATTGCTGGTTTTGTAATGTTGGCTTGACAGAATTGGCTGTAAGTTTTAGATAAATGTTTACATTTTAGAATAGGCCATAAGTAGGCGTTTGTTTATTCTTGCACCTTTTTTGTAGTTTAAGTAGTAACTGCAGTGACTCTAATGCAGTAAAAGTGTTTCTGCATGCGTGTGCGTGTGTGTATGAGTGTGTGTGTGTGAGTGTGTGTGTGTGTTTGTGTGTGTGTGTGTGTGTGTGTGTGTGAGTGTGTGTGTGTGCATTAAAAACGCAAAAGAGTAAAAGAAGTGGACTGGTAGTCACGCTTCGAAAAAGTTCAAGTATTGTTGTCGCGTGTGTAGTTGAGTTGAGTGTGTTGTTGCGTGTGTGGTTGCATGTGTAGTTGCGTGTGTGGTGGCGTGTGTGGTGGCGTGTGTTGCTGCGTGTGTTGTTGGGTCTTGAGGTTGGAGTGACATATTTTTGTTAGGAGATTCTGTTGTGTAGTTTTTAAAATTTTTTACGTCTGTTTTGTATCAATGTGCTCTCTTCATTAGGTATTTGACTGTTTGTTGTATTACTTCATTAATTTTGATTGATCCATTGTAGGAATTGAACTATAACACTTGAACTTATTGTTGATAACGATGATAACAACTGAAGATGATGATTGTAATGTTCGCTAATGATATGGAAGAATTATACTGAGGCCGATCTGCCTACATTTCAGTTTGTTTCAAACTTTGAATTCATTGGTTTTAAGCCAGCAACATTTGTGTTTGTTTTTTATTTATGTTGTGTTTCTATTTTTAAAATTCAGAAAAAAAGTTAACACACAAAATAAATTATTGGAGTGTTTATTTTTCATTTAGTAAACAGTTGGTTTGGTTTTGTCGCTGGTTATTTGATATGTTCACACCTTTGTTCATACGTCTGTTTGTTTGCACGTCTGTTAAAACGTTTGTTTGTTTGCAAACTCATGTTCGCCTGTGTACATACTCACATGTTTGTTTTGCTTCTTGCTAATCAGGATTGTTTGTTAGGTTTTTATGATTATTTTTGTAATTATTTTTGTTTTTGTTTTTTGTTTAAATTAAATCTAATCAGCGAAAAAAAATTTAATTTGATTTCAGAACAATTTTCTTTCAATTCTTTGAAAAGATCAAACATGCACAAACAACAAAAAGATAAAATAAAAAACATAAATATAAAAATCTCAACGCGTTGTTATAACTGAATGGTAATACATCGATGTTTTCACTTTTATCATAGCTCATACCACAAGATTTGTGTAATATATCGGTTGCATGCTTCGTGTTGACAAACAATCATCATCTGTATTACTCCCTCAACGTTTTTTTAAGTTTTTCGAGGCCAGACTTTTGTTAAATACAAAAATAAGTAGAGTTAATTTTATTTTGTCATGGTATCTCAATGTTTCATTTGTCATCTTATGATAAATATTTTTCGTGTGAATTCTCAAAATGTTCATATGTTAGCTCTCAACTCATTTGATTTAGTAATCTCACTGGTTATTGTTATAAATTATAATAATAAATGATAAATTAAAATTTAATATTTGTATTATTATTTATATTATTATTATTAACAATTAAGATGTGTTTAGTGTTTCAGCATGGAACCAAGTAGAAGTAATAATGCATAATTCAAAATATGGATCTGCTCACGTGCATCTTTTGATGTTCCACGTCTCTTTCGTATTTTATACAATTGCTTGCACGCCGAGTATAAGACGAGAAGGAAAATGAAGTGGAATGAATGGAATGAAACAAAAATAGCAAAATAAAAACATCAAAAATATGAAATAAATAAAATGAATCTCCGTTGAAAAAGAGAGAGGCAGACAATCTGAAAATGAAGGATGGTTGAGGTTTATCTGCATCCATTGATTCATCACAAACTTCTACTTTCTTACGTGTCTACGTACATTAGCTAAGAAATGTATTACTTTCTCACTGCTTTTAGCAGCTGGAACAATCTTTTATGAAGAAGAACATGTGACGAGCATGCTGTAAAACATTCAACTTCATCCGTTGTTTTCATGACCTGAAAGTATTAAAAGTTGATAAATTAGTTGCTTGCATTCATTTAAAAAATAAATCACCTCTGTAAATATTTTTTAAGCCGGTTATGGTTGAGTTACATAATCAAATTTATATTTAAAAATAAACATATTTTGAAAGAATTATCAAGAAATATAATGCAAACAAGTATAAAGAAATAATTAATTATTTTAAACAAGTAATATAATGGATAATAAAACAATCCACAACAAAGACGATGATGACAGCCTGGAACAGCAGCCGACCAACATAAATGCTTTCATGAGACGTTGCCCAGCATTTCAATGTTTGACCGAACGATAAATTTTTTGAGACTTCTGAGTTTTTAATTTATTTATAGGCTCAAGTTGACGTGTGGACGTGTGTGTGTTTGTCTGTATGTGTGTATGTGTGTGTGTCTGTATATGTGTGTCTGTCTTTATGTGTGTGTGTGTGTGTGTCTGTATGTGTGTGTGTGTGTCTGTATGTGTGTGTGTTTGTGTGTTTGTCTGTGTGTTTTCTTGCCAAAAGGTTTGTGTACTTATACACAAGTATGCAGGTGAACTACTTGCGACATAAAAAACAAACAAATTAATTAAATAGATATAAACAGGTCGGCATATATAATCTCCTGCAAATGCAAGAACACAAACATGAATATACAGTATATATGTACGGACACTTACAACTACACATAATGGAACAAACAGAAGCAAACTAACACAAACAAACAAACAAGCACGAATAAATACGAACTCATAAACAAACCACCAAGCGACAACACTTGCACTAAGCATCACTAATCAGCGTAGCAACAAGCAAAACCTTTTAAAACAATTGCTTGACATTTGGAAAGAAACTCAAGTCGTTACTACTTTTAATGCTGCAGTAATTATTTCTGTCAGTAGTATAAATACTTACTTACTGCTGCTGTCGTTGATTCTGTTGTTGTTAGCTTTGTTGTATTTATTATTGGTTCTATTTGTGTCTATGATGTTGTTGCTGTTGTAGTTGTGTTGTTGTTGTTGTTTTGTTGTAGTTGTGTTGTTGTTGCTGCTGTTGTTGTAGTTGTTGCTGTTGTTGTTATTGTTTTTGCTGCTGTTGTTGTTGCTGTTGTTGTAGCTATTTGTAAGAAATAAGTTATAACATTTATTTTTATCACGGCCCTAGACTATTCAATGCAAAAACTTTTACTTACTCCATTCACCCGGTAACAAAATGACTTCGTTACTGTTATCTCTATATTTATACAATTACAATTATCCCAATGAAATAAATACAACGGCGGTGATTGAAAATACAGTGGTTGAAAAATCATAAAATAATATTAAGAATGAAAACAATGTCATCCTTTTTGATGATGCTAATAATGATAATGATACTGTTAGTAGTTACGGTTATGAGTGACAACAATGAAGATGGAGCAATGATAACAATAACGATGATGGTGGTGGTGATGATGATGATGACGGTGACGATGATGATAATGGTAATATTGAGAATAGTGATGATAATAACGATAATGCAAGCTCCAGTCAAGTTATGCGGTGACGTCAAAAAGAGATTTCTCTGGTGCTTTTCACAACTTGAAGTTGATTGGCTGGTCACTGGTCACGTGAGCATCTGCACGCACATACACGCACATTTACAGACACACACACAACACACACAGATATATATATATATATATATATATATATATATATATACATGCAATGCAGAAAATAATGCCCACTCACACACACCACACACACCACACGCACAGATACACACATATGCACACAAACTACCAAGCTCAACCTTTTTATGAACAACACATAAACAAACTAAACAAACTAGAGAACAAACTAAACCCACAAGCAAAAGTACTTGCAAACATTTCGCATAATGTAGTTCACAACAACAGACATTCACGAGTATATAAACTCAGAAAGAGGTAAAAACAGACTCCGTAGAGTACTTATAAATACTTGATGAGATGGAGAAGGAGGTATGCCAACATACCAGCGTTTGTTTATTTATCATCACAAACATCGAAAATTTATTTCCAAACTTGTCAACATTCATGCCTTATTTAAACTCCTCTCTTTTACACTTTGTCCTCCGTCCACGATTTCTTCTCGTCTTTTTTTCTCAATTTTTTCTTTCTTCATTTTTCTATCTATGTATATTTTTTTTTTCATTTCCAAACCATTTTTCTCCACTAAACGTCTAATAAGCATTCGGGTTAGTGCAATGTCACTGTCTAACTTCTTTCCTGTCAAATTTTCATTTTCCTGTTTGGCGGGTTTCGACATGACGTCATTTTGCAGGGATGTGCGTACTAGGACTTCAAGATGATGAGTGAACGATATTGATTAAGAGTGTCGATTTTTTGGAGAATCAATAGAAATACCATGATCGTGCTACGCCTGCAAAATATTTTCAATCCTGAGACCAAACATTAATTTTTAGAAAACTTTCTAGCAAATCGTTTGTAGCTCAGATAGTCAGACTGCCCCACTTACACTGTTACATGAGCGGTTGTCCTGTTGTTAGCCGATTCAAAGGCAAATAAGATCTTGATATTTTAATGCAGTTATAACCGTATAGTAAGATAAATTTTTTTTGTCAAACTTTGATGAACATCTGTTACCTTAAGTACCAAACTGGTGCATTCAGGGTTAACTCCATACAGTGATGAACTGATGTCATCACAACAAAGTAATTGAGTGTATGTGGTAATGTTGGTGGTGCGAAATGTGATGAGGATGAAGTAAAGATAGCAATGGTGGAAACAAAACACACGATGATGAATCAACATATGTTATGTTGGCCATGATGATAAAGGTGAAATGATGGTGACGATACGAAAAAATAATGATGAAGATAATGATAATGATGAAGGCAGATGAGTATCGATGATGATGGCAATGATGATGGAGGTGGAAATCATGACAGAAACAAAAAAGTGGTGATGATGGTGATGGTGATGAAGCAGTTCAAAAAGATTATTAGTTCCATTTTAATGAGCCTGTACTCCCCTAGATTGCTTCGACCATCATTAGCTACGTACACGCATGTATGTACTGTACATATGCTGCGTACATAGGGACATGCTTGCAAGTATACATTCAAAAACATACACACGCAAGCACAGAAACACACACGCACGCACGCACACAAACCCACGTACACACACACACACACACACACACACTGTTTATGACATATCGTTAAGCATGCAAAGACATATATGTAGTTAAAGCATTTTTCACTTTCGTCACTTAACTAGGTTGTTGTTTGAAAAAGTTGAACGTATGAATGATAACAGCAAGCAAGCTGAATGAAATTGAAAATCAGTTTTGCCCGTTGGCACTTTGCAGCAGAACCAAATAAGAAGGGGTAGGTAGGCAGTTCTGTGTTGTCACGAGCACCAAAAAAATTAACTTCAAATAGACAATGTGCATCATTTTTGTAGGTGTTGTGCTCAAAGTTAAAAAAATCTTGGCAATGTATTTTTATTACTTAGCATACTTTCTTGACAAAAATGTTTTCAAACAAAATTTCGCATAAAAAAAAATTTCGTTTGTTAGAAAAAATATTAGTTTTGAAAATATACTTTGTGATAAAGGCGTCATAGTGAATACGTTCAAAAGAAGTTCTTCCATCAGACATTTGTGAGATAAAACAAATAATTACGTAAATTTCCAGATTGCCAGCTATCACTTTCTTAATTTATAGTGAGAATAATATTATCCTAAAGTTTATCAGAACTGAAGACATTTAAGTTAAAAACACCGTGTTACAAAATTATGCATCGATCAATATTTGACAATGCATTTGTTGTGACCTAGCATAACTTCTTGGCAAAAATGTTTTCAAACAAAATTCTCGCACTGAGTCTGAAATATATTTTTAAAAATTTCAAACTTATTTAATAAAAAAAGTTTTTTAAAACTAAAAAGTTGCTACCCCACGTAAAAAATTAAAGACACAATAATGACATTTCTATAATTCTGTTAGTGTGGTAATAATAAATATCGGAACGAACGTAACAAATCCCACATCGCATTACTGATCCAGTAACGGAAATGAGACCCGATAGTCCGCGTCGTCAGGAATTTTTAAAATCCCATCAAATAAAATCCAATTAGACTAAATTGAGAGTGACAATCCTGAAATATTCCCACTGCGCCGCTCATCAATATGCTTTTGTACTCCAGGTTTTATGGAATTTTTGATAAAAATTTCTATATTTTATGGAAAAATTTCCAAAATCAATTTCTGTCACTAGTTTGACAAGGACTCTGGAGGAGAAGTGTCGAAGGGATGAGATTGCATATAAAGACAGGTCGTGGAAATTTGTGTGATCTCAAAACACCTTAGAAAAACTTGTTTTTCTAGTTATCAATGATTGGATATCACTATGTTGGCTATTTTGTTTTCGTTCAAATTATCGAAGAAAGTTCCGAATGAAAGTAATGTAATATTTTGTTTCAATTATTCTTAGTG